CATTCATATCTGACATATGAACGCCTGTGGTTCATCAATTACAAATTATTAAGTGTTTTATTTTTTGGACATACAAGAAGGTTGTCTCTAGATATTGGGGAAAATACGACCAACTCTCGAGGTAATGTCAAATTATGAAAACACCCCCTATGTGTGTGTAATTACAAACCACCGTCATCATCGGGTATGAATTTTTTTATACGTGCAGTCGTCCGCCTCTACGGGGTCAAATTCAACATAATCTTATGGGTACCGTGGAATGTGTTTTTAGTGTGTACTTGTGTGGTGCGAAAATGCGGTGTATCTCGCATCTCCGAGCATTTTTTTTCTAAATGTGGAGTGCGAGTGAGGTGTAGCGAGTGCAAACTCGAGAGTATTCCACATATTATAAAAGATTGCGCTAAATTTGACATGGCATGGGTGGGCGTGTAAAAAGAGTCATAGTAGAGGGGGGGGATGTGGATATTCATATCTAGAGAGATATATATATATATATATATATCTATAGAGATGTGTATATATATTTCCCAATATATATATATATATATATATATATATATATATATATATATATATATATATATATATATATATATATATATCTCACACACCTTGAGCATTTGATGTAATCTGTCTCTTTTTCTTGCTGTCATCACTTTCATCACTTATGATAGCTTTATTATCACCAAGAGCTGAATTTTGAGTACACAAAACAGTTAAAATTAAGTCCAAATAATGATTAAAAAAAAGACAAAATAAGAAATACGAAATACGAAAAATCGAGTAGTTTAAATATATACTTACGGTTTAAGTATGTCAATGCTCCGATAAAGAGGACGTTGAAAAGAAGAGAGAATCCGAAAAGAGCCATAATGCAAATCCAGTACCAAGATTCTGTAGTGAATAAACCTCTGTCCTTAAGTAGTGTTTTTCCAACTGTTGGCTCTGATCCATTTGTAGGCTGAATTTCAAAACAAATAAATAAACCAACATTTAGTTGTCATAAAATGCGTAAATATACTTTCGAAAATTTTAAGGATATATAAATAAACTTACTGCACTCCATCTATCATCGAGAAACTCGTTGATGGCGATAGCATTTTGTCCGTACATCATAGGAGAAACGTAGTACCCCCATATCATCCAATCTTGAATATCATCTGCCAAAAGAAACGGGAATTCGAATTTCTTACTAACGATCGATTTTTCCATCGAGTATTCTAATAGTAATAGAAATTGAATTATTACAAAAGTGAATTTTGTTAATTACCTTTTGCAACAACAAAGCCTCCCAAAACGAAAACAAGCAACAGAGCGAAAGATCCGAGCGTATTAGCAACAACTTGAGTTCTTCCAGCTGCTGCGATAAAACGGAACAAAGACAAAGCCA